GAAACCAAAAAACACTGGCCCTGCTCATGAATACTTTAAAGATAAAATTTTATACTTTGTTAATATTTATTTGATTTAGCTCGAAATTTCATTGCTCCGTAGTTGCAAATTAAATTTCAATTTATCACATTCTTAATTAGTTTAAAATCGATATTCTAAATCTGGAATATGTTCAAGTTATTTCTAATCATATCGAGATATTCACATATATCCAAAACTTATTCAAAATATAAGTTAACACTTAAGTGAAACTTACAAAGATGGAAAAAGAAATTCATGTTGTGAAGGTAACCATATACCACGAATGAATCGATCAATCGATGACATTATTGATTCACCACAACCTAATTAATATAATTTGAATAATGTTTCAAGAATTTCTTTTTACCTCTAATAGCTCCAATGAGTACAACAATAATATAACTATCAGGATATAAAATTAAAGTTAAACGAACACCATCATAAATTTTTTTTGTTCGTTGAATTTCTTTTCCAACACCCATAACAAGACGAATAGGTATAAATCGTAATAGATAATTAATAAAATCAAATGGGAAGTAAAATACAGAATACCAGCAGACTGTAGCTAATAGAAGATGTTGATGGTGAATAAAATCTTTTAATGGACTTTCACCAAGTAATAAATTCGTTATAATGGAACCGGAAAAACAGAGTAACATTGTTGATATCCAACATGATAATGGATGACGACGTGTAAAATTTTGTGTGGCTAAATGAAAAAAAAAATCAATGATTATATCAATATTGAAAACAAAAACAGTGCGAACTATTGTTTTTTTTTGCTAAATGCTATGATAGGCAGATGTATTTGTCACAGCATGTGATAACAAATGGACAGTAGACTATAAATTGTCTGTCATTTGCTTCACATGTACGCACCGTGATATATGATAATTAAAATGTTCTATTCGACATTGTACATGTATTGTATCTCACAAACTGAAAAAGATATAATGAAAAATTTTTTTGCAGATAGCTTTGTGTTTTGTAATTTAATACTTTGAATTAATACATAGCAAACTTTGAGATTCTATACGAGTTTGACTCAGCCTATATTTCAGACCGATATTGATAATATATAGATATCTCTTGGACGAAAAAAAAAATATTGTTACACGATAAAATTTAACGATAAATTATGTAATTTATCAGAATACTTTGATAAGTTTATTATCATGGTAATCATGAGTTCGGATTAGATCAGATAATCCAAATGCTTACAAAAAACAATATGAGAGGTAAGTTGTCGTTCATTAATAGAAATTTCTCAAGAGTAAATTAGTCGTTGAATGATTTCATCGAGTCAAACGAAATATTATTTGTAGCTCACATCCTTAATTTTAGTCTATTGTTAACAGTGCTTGACTTCAGTAATACTCTATACTGCTGAGTGCAACGGACATTCCAATCGATTTTTGGATTGCGAATGAAGAATATTATTGTACTGAAAAGATACTTCGTTTTTTGATTTATTGTCTAGTTGAAAATTGAAAAAATATTTATATTAGTAAACTTTCTTGTTCGTTATCTAATGTAAGATGAATAAATCTTCCTTGTAGGAAGCAGTAAAGTTCGAGCCGGAAGAAATCTAGACATGTCCGGCTAGTGCGAAGATATTCTTTGGACCGAATCGAACATAATATATACATGTGTAGATATTTCTACGTCTACAATTCATGTGGCTGATTTCAGAGTTATAAAATGCTGTTAATTTGTAAAAAAAATCCAAGAAGGATATTTTCGAATGCATTCGGATTGTGAAAAAACGAGATTTCATATTGAAAATATAAGATAGATTAATAATAATTGATAAGCTTTTGACATATAAAGGTTTCTATCTTCAATATATAGATCTTTTCATAGCGTAAAAAAAATTGAGTGTTTCCATTTACAGCTATCAATGTTATCGATACGGCGACCTATTAGCTCAATGTATTTCTTATATCAGACAAGCTCCAAAAAAAATGATCAATTATTCCTTACTGATTGCTATCTTTAGCTTTGTTCAGAACACTAGTCTTATATAGAATTTCCACATATAATGCGCACTATTGAAAAACTATATTGTATTTCATAATATAATACAACATAAAGATATATTTACTAATAGAAAATGATAATTTCAGATATTTCTTATTTATATATTATTTCAAAAATAATCAATGAAAGAAAAGGAAAATCAATAGGTCAAACCTGTTTGATATTGTTGTATATCATCTCGTACTTGTAAAGCAGTTAATAAATAATGACACATATCAAATAATGGATATATGCGTACATGTGATAACTGAGATCCAATATAGATTAATAATTCTTTATTCATTTCTTTTGTGTTTTCTTTTTCGCTTATATGTCACCGATTCATTCAATTCAAAACAAAGGAAAAGAAAAAGAGGAAAAAATCTAAAACAAAATTAAAATTCACATATCAATATTTTTTCATCTTTGTATGTTTTAGCTTCATATAAAATTTCTTTTTCGTTCTCTGAACGTTTTAATACAATCATACTTTCACCTTGAGCTTGAATATCATTCATAATATTTAATATACCTTGACAACAAATAACACCATATCCAAGTAAATCATTTCGTTTATTTAATATATCTATTCCACGATGTATTGCATAATGAAACCATGCATTTGATAATGAATATGTTTTTATATGTTTATTATTGACATCTTTTGGTGTATCATGTTGACGATCGTAACCTGGCCAAGGTATATTCCATTCACCAATATTTAAAGAAATAATAATAAAAAGAAAACGTCGATTTGAATTGAATAATTCTTTTCTATTATATTGTTCATAAACTTGTGGCATCCAACTATCAGCACATATCAATATAGCAATATCAATATTTGTATTTGGAATTGAATAGATTGATGGTTGTTTTTGATAATTATCAATGAAACTAATTTCATCATAAACAGGATACTGTTTACCAGATTGAATACATATGGAACCATAATTTGGTTCAAATACATATGACATATTATAAAAATTATTTTTATTTATATTTTCATACATAAAAGTTGAACCAGCAACAATAGTACAATTTGTTTCACAAGCTAATTCACTAAATAATTTTGTATAAATGTTATATGTTTGATCAGCAAAAAGACTAAACCAAGAACGTTTTATTAAACCTAACCATGTAAATTTGCAATGATAATTTTTATCGATTTCTTTAACAAATAAACGAATATGAGTTAATAATGTATAACACATAAATAATATATGACGATTTATTTTTGTAGTTTGATAATTAAAAAAAAAGTTACGTAAATATTGTGGCATTGGAACACACATTAAATAAAGCCATGTGCCTGTACATTCTGGAAGAATAACAAGTGTTGGATGTTGTGCACGTATTCCATTAAATAGGATATTGTTTGTCGCTAATGTAGGTTTTATACTTAGATGAATACGTTCTAGAAAATATTGTTTTAGGATTGCATAAGATTGGTAATGATATTGAGTTAAAGAAGTTTGTAGACAAATGATTTGTAATGGTTGTTGTTCTTCCATTTCATTAAAAGGCTATTCATTAAGCAAAATGAACAAACAATTTTGTCTGTTCTGTCCTTGTATTAGAAAGAAGAAGGTGGTATCTATTGGGTATTGACGTCGTTTATTGCTGTGTCTCACTCGCTAGCCTCATTATCTTTTTCTTATCTGTTATGAAGAAAAGAAAGATTTTTCTTTCTTACTGATATCATTTTTAGCTTGATAATAACAGAAAACCACAAAGAAAGGAACACGATGATAAATATCGAGAGACAAGGGAGAATAGAAAAGAGAATTATTATGGCTTTGGTAAACATTACAACGAAAGAGGGAGTGATAAGAAATATTGATATACAATAGATGGATATATTCACTGGATGCATTAGATGAACAAATAACATGTTTGAAGAAATTTTCTTGTTCATCAATGATGTAAGATCTAAACTATTACTGATTGATGAAAGAACATGATAGTATTGAGATGATAGTAATCAGTTAATGAAATTTATTGATTTTGTGATTGAAAAAAGATATAAATTGTATTTTATCATTTTTTTTCTTTCGTTGCCATATTACAAAAAAATCGATAATAGAGATGATTCTTAGGGATCTTTTGATTACTCCAATCCAATTGAAATATTTAATAAATAAACATTAACATTCGTTATAGATGATAAGGAATATTCTAGAAAAATCTAATTGCATTATATGGTGATCAAAACTTCTGAAAGATTGTGATCTCGCTTTTGTCAAGTTCATTGATATTTCAATCAATAATTTTTAGTCTAATAAGATATATTAAAAAACAAAATTAATTTCAGCAGTTTCAAATAATTAGAATAGATCTGTAGTGGTTTGATAGTAATTGATTGATAATCAAGTTCGTGAAATTCTATTTAATGTTCTGAAAAGTCCATTATAATACGTTACATATTTCACAAGTAAATAGAAAAATCTACCTACGTTAAAGAATGATTATTCAATGTATAAAAATTAAGCCGAGATAAAAATAGTGAAGTATAAAATTTCGTCAAAGGTTTCATGAGACTTTAACCCAGAAGTCTCTAGTGTAGAATCCATCAGATCGAAAACTTTTCAGATCTAGTCCAATCACACTTTGATATTATTAATAAAAATTTTCTTATCAATTTCAAAATATTGTCACTATTTTGATTTGTTAATTGTTCAAAACTTTTCATATTACCCAATTTTTTTCAATAATTTACGTTAATTAGACATGATGATCATCCTAGAATCTTGTCAAAGTTTTCTTCATTTTAGAAAATGCATCAATATTGAGTTTTTGAAAGGTGAAAGTTAAAAAAGAGATTCGAACAAAATTATTTGCTAAAATTTTTGTATGCAAATGAAAAGATGATATGATCCATGTCAAGATGTATACAAACATCTTTGAATGGCTAATCACAAATGACAGTTATCGATGAAGGTAAAATAACACGTGTAGGAATGATGAGAGAATAGGAAAAGATCGTTAAGAATATTTTGTCCTTAATAATAGACAAAGATTTTTTAGCTTATACTAATTATTGAGATAATTTAAATTACTTTATTCATCTTCACAATAATGTCTACTACCATATTAGATGTTTGACATTTTCATGCAACATTACTTCTTTCAATGTTGACACGTAAGAGAAAGAAAATCACGACAGTTTCATAACAAGACTTATATAGTCCGATGAAAATTTGTCCGTGCTTCGTAATGAACTAAGACTATGCAAAAATTAAACATAAATTATTATTTTTATGATGAACAAGCAACATACATCAAGTCCAGTTAATAGCTATCGATTAGTTGAAATTTCTAATAGAGATGCAAGAGTGTGAATCATGCGCGAAAAATAAAATCGAGATTAAGATACAGACAATGATAAACAATAAAGTGTTCATTTGCTATGACATATATTGTTAATAATGGAATTCATTTTTTTTGCTTTGTTATTCGCCGATGTCTCTATTAAGGATGAATAATTAACATCTTTTTCTTTTGTTTTTTTTTTTTTACAAAACAAAGAAAACCAAAATATTCGATAAGATAACGGTTATCAAAGTTTTATAACGAAAAAAACGCTAAAACAAGAATGCTTTATTGCAGAAAAAGATGCTCATTTTTAGAAAAAGACATGACGAAACTCATATCGAGCATATTTTATGTGATTAAGATTTTTTAAATAAAGGCTTTTTTGTAAACAGTCGTGTAAAAGACTTATTGCTTATATCCGCTTACTTATTTTTTTTTCTTTTTATTATTTCTCTATTGTTAGTTGCTTTAGAAAATAATAATAAAATCTTCTTAAACAATTCTTGTATTAACGACTTATACTTTTCACTATTAGTAAAAAAAAACATTATTTTTTAGAACAGGATTATTTTCAAGTCGAATACTCAAAAAAAAAGAAGACATTAGTAATATTAGTTCTTGATTATAGAAAATTGATTTCTATTGGGCTTAAGCATAATTTTCGGGATCAGCATACACACACATACATCAAAAGTTGTATAATATCATCACAACATATAATGATTGTATTCTATATTTTAGTAACATTCAAAAATTATCACAACACCAACAACTAAAAAATAGTTAAGCAAAAGAAAACCAACAGAGATAGATATAAACCATAGGTCACATCGTTTAATATTCAAATATTTTTTGTATTTATTTAATACCGTCAATCAATCCTTTAGATCAAAGACTGACAGAACTGTTTCATGCTACTGCTTACGTCTCACAGAACTTTACGGGCGCGTATTATGCCATTATATCGCTCGAGAGGATCTGCACGACGATGGAAATAGCTACTAATTAGCCTTTACGAAACTTATTGTTAAAGCTAAACGAGACAAAGGCATGAGCAAAGATGCGAGACAGTCTCATCGATCTTTTCTCTATATTTCCCAAAAGACAAATAAAAACCAAAATAACACGTACCAGATGAATCGGACATTTCATTTTTTTAGCATTTGTTTGTTGATTAATAAACTATTATTGATAGCTTTAAATACTTTAATCATTTATTATCTACCATAGACATTCATAACGATCTATATTATTTAATGAATCTTGAACCAATAAACAATCAGTTTGCCAAAGAAGTATGAAGAAGAAGATGAATGTGATCAATAATACAATTGATCCGATTACTTGACTATAATGAAGAAATTTTGAACAATCCACCATTGAACTATATTTTCAAACATAGACAAATAAACGATATTTGATATACATTGAGCGCCTGAATATTGATTGATTATAAAAATACAAAAATATATTAGATAATAAATCGTTATTTATCAGTACATTTTCTTCGTATGAAAAGTTGAAAGATACGACCCAAATCATTCGTTAGCGAAGTGACTTCGTAAAAAGAGAAAATGTATGTTTAAGTTACTTTAGATACCTCTAAAAAAATCAGCACTAGTAACTTTTGCTCTGGGAAGTTACCAACGTGACAGAATAAGAAAAAATTTTCTTATAATGGTATAATCAGGGGTAGAACCGGTTGAGAAATATTAAAACGGTCCGGTCCGGCCGGTTGAGAAATCCTACCGGTCCGGTCCGGCCGGAAACCGGCCGGTTGGGATCACATGTCCAACCGGTGAAATTCCGGTGGAAAAATGTCGAATTTTTTTTTTTGAAAATCGATTTTTAGAAAAAATCGCTCCAAATATGAAATAGTTCAAGGCGCATGTAAAAGACGCTCATCATAATGAATCTTTTTAAAGAGAACCTCAGGAAAAACGATTAATGTAACATATGTTTTGAGCACTTTTTTACCTATTCTGACAGAAA